AGTGTTTTTTCTAAGCCAAAATGTTTTGGTTTTATTCTTTTAAAAAAAATCCATCAAAGGTGCTGCAGTGGAGCCTTTCCTTTCCTTCCTGAGTTCTTCCGTGAAAATTATCAAGTCCTGCAAATCAGATATTACTTAAATCTTCAGAGTTTTCTTCAAAATGGCAATAATAAAATGCTACAAAGACCCAGTGTGTTAAGTCTGTCGTTACGGGAAGAGAGCAGTTCTCCACACATCATTCAGTGAAAAAGAACCTATCACGTTTTGTGTTCACAGGGACCCGTTGGAGATCTCTCTGCTGCCGCTGCTCTCGGCTGACTGACTGGGTGGATCCATTGGATTGTCACGGTAATTATCTTTGATTTGTACCTGTCTGTTGTCAAGGTGACTAATTTTGACTCGTCCCCTCTCTTGGTGACTGTCTATAATTGGCACCAATCCATTGGCAATGCCTTGGCGACTGATTTTGCTTAGTCTATCATCATGGTGCCTTGTTTTAAGTGCGGTCTGTCCATCGCCTTTGTGACTGGTTCTCATTGGTGCGGGGCCGCTATCATGCTGTCTTGTTCTGATAGGCACCGGTTCACTGTCTATGTGACTGCTTTTCACTGACACCAGCCTGTTGATCTGGTGCTTGTTGCAGACGGGGATCTTATTGACCTGCAGTGAGCGGGTGTAACGTGAAAACCAGTCCCTCTCAAATGCGGCCTGTAGGTGCTCCACCACTGTAGAGTTCCTCTCCTCGATGCCCTCTGGCTGACTGATCACCAGGCCTGCTCCTGCATTAAAGGTGAACTCGTTGCCCACCCAGTCAAGGTTACCTGTGAGGACACAGAGGAAGAAACAAATACGTTTTGTTTCAAAAATATCTTGAAGCACAAATAATAAGACAAAAACACAGTGCCAAGATATCCAAAAAACAAGCACTGCCCTGATTTCAACTCCCTGGAAAGAGTTAAGAGAAGGAGTTAAAGAGTTAGATGATGAGAAGATGATGAGAAGATCAATACCACTTTCATGTCTGAACAATAAGTACAGAGCTGGAGCCAGGAGACGAATTGCTTAGCTCAGCATAAAGACTGGAAGCAAGGGGAAACAGCTAGCCTGGCCCTTTCCAAACTTTACAAATATAAATATCAGCACCTTTAAAGCTCACTAATTAATACATTGTTTCTTACAGTAATGTAAAAACAACAAGGGAGTCAGAGGCTGTGACCATTTCTTGGTGAACAACAGCCTTGCATTACTTCCTGGAGTATGGGCGGATAAATAAACTGTTGTTCGTCAAGAAATTGTTGCATCATGTAATTCTTTCTCTTACAAAACCAAAAAACTGCCATTTCTACATTACTGTTTGTGTAGGGATTAAACATACAAGATACATGACCCTAAAAATGGTGAGTTTGAAGAGAGCCAAGCTGTTTCCCCTTATGTAACGCACACAAGAGTGGCATTTATCTCTCTCACTCTCGAAAAGAAGTAACCGTAGTTCCAAAAATGCTGAACTTTTGTTGTTTTTAATTGAAAATTAGCTCTGCAGGAAGTGAGCAAAAGCATATAGGACACAGTCATAAAGGGTAGTTGATGAACTCACCTAAATAAATGGCTTTGTCTGTCACTATAAACCTGTTGTGGTTTATTCCTTGGAGACTGCCATCCCTCAGCACTCTGGGGTTGAAGAGCTTCTACACACACACACACACACACACACACACACATAGTGGTGCAGTGAGCGTTGGTAAAGTGTATCTCTTGAGTTAAAAAAATAGTACATAGTGGCCTTGTACTTACAGCTTCCAGTGAGCAGTTGGCCTGCTCCAAGCACAGACTCCTTAGGGACCAGATAAAGTTAAAAGTAAGTGGATGAGTGTTTTCCCAGCAACTTATCAGCAGACGAACCCGGACCTTCCTCAGAATCAGAGCCTCCCGGATAAGGCCATCAATACGAGACCAGTACCTTGGCACAGATACAAACACACACACAAAAATGTGGGCACACAGCCAGATGGACAGCAAGCATACACAGAGTTGAATCACTTGAATCAAAGAAAGGCCTCCAAGCTTTTGATGATATAAATGCCTGTCAAATAATTCCAAAGAGAGGAACTTTGACACAGTGGCTCAGTGGTTCTAACCTTTGAGCGTTTCTGCTCACGAGGGGCAGGTAGTCGATGATGGATATATATATGAAATGGCGCGCCTCCTGTATCACTCTGGAAATGGCTTCAAGATCATTGCTACGATCTTTCGGAATGAAAACATCTGGGGAGCTCTGTCATCAGAGGAGGGAAACAGACAATTAAGATCATGTTTGTTAACACTGTTTTCATCATAACAGAATCAGCTCTCATCATCATTATTGTTCACCCAAATGACCATTAGGATTTTATTGTCTTCCTTTGTTTTATGTGTGTGTGTGTGTGTTATATTGCTGTAATTTGAATTGTCTTAAATTTTCATTTTTAACTTCTTGCTGACAGGCACTTCTTAATGTTTAACTGTGAGTGTGCTTTTTGTGTTTGAATTAATCTTCTAGAGATGGACAGCCCAGCCAATTCAACTGTTTTCTGCTGTGGGTAGGACGATCATCATCACTCATCTCAAGGAAGATGATGACTCTGAAGACACAGTGTCCTGACACCCTGTATAAAAAATGTCTCTCTCCCACCTAGTAACTGTCACCTCTAATGGAGAACATTGCTACACTTGACTGTGCTGTACATTTACATTCTCCTCTATTAAAACAAAAATTGTTATAAAACCAGTGTCTAAGTGTTTCACTCCTACTTATATGTATTTCCAGACAAGACATGTTGAGTTCTCATAGCAGGAAAAGCACCGGTAGAACTGGTAACAATGATTAAGGTTCTGCTCCATTTAAAGACCCTACAAACACATGTTACACCCACACAGGTGTTTTCACTTATTTTGCCTGATCAGACTGTCCTTCAGTCCACTGCTGTGTGTGTAAAATAAGGCATTACACATTTATCATTCTTATTGGTGACTTCACATAATGCCCAGCAAAGTTCTATCCAGCTTCAACCTGAATTGATGCCACATTCATGTTTGATGATGTCACATATTTTTTTTCACAGTTCACCCCTCATCAACCTGAGCAGAGGTCTAATCAATCAGAGTAACTCTAAAAACACGTGTGGGTGTGCAGGGCCTTTAAAGTGTCTGATTTACTTGTGTTAACTTGTGAAAACACACAGGTGAAACTAAATTCACTAACAATGACTTAGTTCCATTAGGTGTCCAGCATGCACAATACTGTTGCTCTGAAAAGTCACCTCAATGTCATGCAGTCATTATTAATGTTAATCATTATACCTGAGCTTTTCCAGATTTAACATTTCAAAATGCCATGTAAAAGGACTGTTAGTTCACCACTGAAATACAGACTTGTCCCAGAATCCAAATCAGGCAATTGAACCCTGAACTCTGAAGCTCAGTCTGTCACAACATCAACATCAACATCCTTTTTCAAATGAACTAACACTGAATTATGTGAGCTGCCAATTATATGTAATATCGCCAGTTGTATGTAATTATATATAATATTTAAGTGTAAGTAATGGATGGTAATTGAATGCCTTTACTTTATAGTTAACTAGGTATACTTGAGCTTGTAAAGTATCTCTTTAGGCCACTGGTTCCCAACCCAGGGGTCCCGACCCCTACTGCTGGTCTTAAAAAAGCTTCACGGGGGACTGCAATGTCTCCTTGATTTTAAATAGTATAAGAAAACTATACTAAAATATATATAGTTGGTAGATCTATATTTCATATTCATTCATGTCATTCATTTATGTGAAAAACTAAATTAAATTGTTATTTATAAAGTTTACATTTTTATTTAAGTTAATCTCACAGGATAAGGCACAGTGACAACCTGAACACAATCTATATTAACGGAGCCTTCACTCTCTGTTAAACCAGCTCATCCTGCATTAGAAAAATACACACCAAAAACCAGATGGAACAAGTCCAACTGTCAGGGAGAAGAAAACACAGAATTTTTCAAAAAAGAAGCCTATTAAGTACAGAACTTATAAAAGTTCCTAAAAATATCAGGAAAACTCTGAAAAAGGTTGGGAACCATTGCTTTAGATCACAAATACTCAGAATCAAGATGAAGAGAAAAGAAATTTGACAGATATCTCATGCTTTAAATGATTATTTTACTGTAAACATCACTTTAAGTAAATGTTTTAGCTTTTGGAATCCAACTCTTTTGCACAAGCCTCCCCATTACTTGTACCATCAATACAAAATAATTTATGGGCTGGCATGTTAACCTTGTCTTAGACGTATCGACCAGGAATTGCTACATAAATAAAGCAATGCTATGATGAAAACAGTTAATGTATAATACAAACTAAACTGTAAACTAAACTATAACTGTGACTCACAGAGACGTAGGCCTGAGCCTTTGTGCTGTTGAAGGTGAGCTCCAGTGGTGCGTCTCTGTTAAAGAGGGCAAAGAGGCGCTTGGACCAGAAGGAGGGGATGAAGTCTTTATACTGGAGCCCCCAGTACAGGCTGAACACTCTGTGGAGGTCCAGAGCCAGACAGCTGCAGTCGTACACCAACACACCCAACTCCTTCCTCTGGAGAACAAACCAAATCTGTGTTAGATCACTGTAAGCAAGGACACAGCCCACATTTACATCAACATCTTTGTAAATATCCTAAACATTATCGTCATTACTTTCAAGATCATCAACATGCTGCCTATCATCTACATCAGATTCCCTTTCCAAGTCCTCTTAACCTGTATGTTTTTACTCGTTTTATACATCTGTCAACCTACACACACATGCAGCCCCTCCCCCCTTACTGGTAATATTGTCCGCAACCTCATCCAATTACAGGTCTTTGCACATCGTCACAGCAACAGCAGGGAATGAGAGGACACTGCAGTGGTTCTTCTCTCTGTTCTCAATTTTCTTTCTTTGCTCTCTGTTGCATTTTTATTTCAAGGAGGCACTTCTGAAATTCAGATTCTCCGCTTGAACCATATAAATCACCTTGTCTTGCTCCCTTTCATTCTCTCCCTGCAGCGTCTACATGGGCAAAGTATTCCTGAAGCTTAGATCCCACTTACTAATGTCGTATTTGACACAGCCTATTCTACAGTGTATTTCCCTCAAAACACGCCAATTTGCAGACAAAATGGACAGAAAATACAGCCCATAATTTGACTTCACATTCATTTAATACCATGAAAAACTAAAGAAACAAACATGTTAGGCTAACAGCTAATACTGGACTGTGAATCTTAGAATGTATTTTAGGATGCATTAAAAAATGTGTGGATATAAGTTTTGATTTTGCATGGCCACCTTGAGCTCCTTGCAATTCATCTTCCTAATCTCTGGGTGTCTAACAAAGGGGTCCGCACTTTAATGAACCATGCAAGAAACCCAGCTTTGAAGAAGAAGATGAAAGAATGTCTACTTTCCTTTTGGATACCACCTCACCTGGTATGCCCCCACTAAACGAATCCCCGCCCCATCCCCCCATCTATGACTTTTTGAAGAAGACACTGACATGTAACATATGCGCAAATATAATTTCACTATCTGTACAAATGTGTTTTGATAGGGCTCATAACTTGTACACATACATGCAAGTGTGCAGATGTAGAATGTTTCAGTAAATATATCAAATAAATATTCTAATAAAACTGAGAAAAAATAATTCAAAAGGATTTATGTATTACCCATGGTAATAAATATGTCAAATCTGGTTATTTTTGTCAAATTAATTAACCCATTGGCATGACACTCCTCTTAGTTATTTCAGCCTTTTGCATAAGAGGGCTGGGAACTTCAAATAAATTGTATGTACTTTTGAGTCTGAGCCAGAAGAACATTATCAAAGCTCTTTACTATACATTAGGGGATAGAGAATTTGTTATGTAATCGAATCTCATGTAATTCTGTTGGATACAAAATGAAGACAGACATGGATGAATTAGCATAATTTGTGTTACAATGAGAATTTAAAGGGCTTGGATTATGATGTTACATTTTCTAAAATATCTCAAAGCCTCTGTCTGCATATGTGTAGGTATGGATGTGTGGTGGATCTTACAGTGGCCAGAGATCTCCAGTCCATGCTGGCGCTGCCGATGTAGAAATGTCTTCTGTCAACCACCCAGAAGGAGGAGAGGAGGTGGCCTTTGGTCAGTGCTGTCATGTTCACATAGTGGACCTCAGCATCTGGGAATGGAGATCAAGACAAAAGTCAGCAAGAAAAAGAAAGGCATAAATAAAGGAAGTCACATACACTGAGACAAGGAGAAGGATAAAGGCAGATATAGCCACAGACAGATACAGGATCAACAAGAAAATGAAACACAAAGACAGATGAAGGGAAAGATGGAAAGAGAGTGATAGATTCAAGGAACTGAACAGGACAAATAGGGAGAGTCAACAGAATAAACAGACAGAGCCAAGCTGCAGCATGTTTCAACACAGACACACTGAATGTATAATACAGTGAGAGTGAGAGCTGACTGTGTTTGGCGAGTGTGTTGAGCTCAGTCGAGTCAATCATCCCACTGGAGATCTTCAGCTGGATTCCTTTAGCTTTCAGCCCCTGCAGCCTGGACAGCAGAGCCCTGCCCTGAGGGAAAGATCACATAACCTCTGCTGTCACATGAAATTCATGCACTGTGTATTCAAACAAGATTCTTGTGTATTGCTTAGATTTTCTTTGATATTGTGACACCATCAGCAGCCATTTAAGTGCTACATTTCCAAGAGGTCCTCTGTCTGCAGCCAGCAACTGTGATGTCTAGTTTCTTTTTTGTTTAGATTAAATATTCACATTTGTGGCTGACACTTTTCTTTGTTTGTGCAGTCATGATAGCAATCTTTCATTCTAAGTACGTATAAAACCTTTCTTTTAATCCAAAGACTTTCCAGTTTTTTGAAATGCTAAAGCTAAAGAGAGACCGAGACAACTGAGATGTGAATTTGGTAAAATGGGCTTCATTTCAACACCCAAAAGGATGGATAGAGCAGGATGTACGGATCGTGCAGTACAGCCAATCATAATGTGTTAATGTATTACATCATCTCTGAACACAGGGCCTGAGCAAGGATTATGGGGTGACAGGAGCCAAACCCGGCAAGAAAACCACATTGGTACTGTATTCCCCTTGTTCCCTGTCATCAAACTGGCCTCCGTTGGTCTTGCAGGGTCATTGAGTAGCAGAGCACAGTTCAGGAAACTCTTGAATCTTTTAATTTTATTGAATTTTTTATTGAATTTTTTAAACATTCGTATGTGAGGAAAAGTTAACTACAGCTAAACTTATGGGTGACACAGAATTGAGTTATCGCCCTCTAAAATGAATCTGCAGAACTGACTGACTCAGTGTGAGTAAAATGTCCAATGACTATAATCTTTATGTCTCCTCGTGATAGCAAAACAGCACTTTTCACTTAACTGATGTTCACTGTATTTAAGAGGGCACAAACAGACGCAAACACACATTCAGTGCACATGTCTGCTACAAGAGCATCTCCACCTCCACCTTTTATTACTTTGCCTTTACAGTATATTAAATTTTTGGGTCCAGCCTCCCTCCTGATGGGGTGTCTTTTATGGCAGCTGATTGCTGAGACTGCTGCAGGCTGAAAAGCCATTAGCTCTTCCCTGCCCTAGGGCCTCTGAAAGGAGATATTACCTCCCAATCAACAACATCAGGCTTTCATTAGCCCTGACACACTCTACATTTAAACAGAACTGTGTGCGTGTGTGTGTGTGTGTGTGTGTGTGTGTGTGTGTGTGTGTGCGCGCGCGCACGCAACTGTCAATAACACATCCAATACAAATCCAAAATGAATAGCTCACTTCAAGCAGCCTGAAAACAGT